CACAGACACACACACACACACACACACACACACACACACACACACACACACGAACACATGACGGATCCAAGGGCAACGAACGTTGTTATGGTCTCCACTAACTTTGACCCGAGAGCACAAGGACTGCCGATTGGTCAAAGTCTCGTAAACCAAAGTGCACCGTCTTCAACCGAATAGAACCCCCGGTCATTATAGATGCATCCGGTGTAGATAGTGTTAAAGACCGGGCGTTCGATTACGCTGAAGACCGTAAGTGATGGGTCAAAACTGACCGGTTGTGAGCGATCAGGTCAAAGCCCACCCACCGGACTGGCTAGCGCTCACTGCCAGATCTCACACCTCCCCGTGTTCACGATCATACCCCAAAAAAATACTAAGTTTGGCGCAGAAAGGAGTCCTCTGATACTCGTACAGACACACATACACAAGGAGGTCCAGAAATACGGGTTGGGGGCGTAGGAACCACACACACACACACACACACACACACACACACACACACAGACAGAGAGAGAGAGAGAGAGAGAGAGAGAGAGAGAGAGAGAGAGAGAGAGAGAGAGAGAAAGAGAGGACGTACCCCAGTGGCTGCAAAGAAGATGATACCGATTAATTGCCACGTGTTGACGTGAGGCATTGGTGGAGACGTAGCCGAGCACCGTCGCGACGAGCTCCCTGACGGGATCTCGTTATCACTCGCCTCTGAGACACGTGGCAGGTGTCCCATCGACGGTCGATAGTGCGTTGTAATCGCGCTGATACTGCTTCTCCGGACGACCACCACGGACGACCGGTCCTCGTCCACTCCCGCGACGTCCATTTCCATTTTATCCACAGCCCCAGACACCTCTCCCGAGTGATCGATCAGCAACTCCCCTCCCCCCCGCCCCCCCCGCCCTCTCCTTTCCTCCTTGATCCCCTCCGACTAATTAATTGATCACCTCTGACTAATTAAACCCCTCTCATTTATTGATTACCTCTTGACTAATTAACTCCATCTCACTAATTGATCACCTCTGACTAATTACTCCCCTGTCACTTTTTTTCTCTCTCCACCGTCGACTAATTAATTCCCACTCACTAATTAATCACGTCTGATTAATTAATCTCATAACCTCTGACTAATTAATCTGATCGACAAGGAGCCCACAGGACCAATTACCCTAATCACCTCAAGCGAACCCTATCGTTTATGAGTAATTGATCGTCTACGAGTAATTAATCGTCTATGACGAATTGATGAGGCCTCTCCTCTGACTACAGTCTTCACCGGGTTCACCCGAAAAGAACGCCCAGTCGTGATCACTGCATCTGGACAGAAATTCTGCCCAAATGCATACGCAGCTATACCGAC